GCTCGCTGGCGACGGGGGACATCGTGCTGAGAGCCCCGCTGCGGCTCCGGACCCCGCTGGAACAGACCAGCCTTCCCGGGTAAAGCGCCGAGCAGTGGCACCGTGAAGCAGCAGCAGCACAAAAAATCGGCTTCTTGCCTCTGTCTGTGAGAACACTGGGCCCACGGGGTGAATACCGGGTGGCCGCGTGCCCTGCCAATCGGTTCGGGGTCGTTCCCGATGGAGTTGTCCTTGTCCCCGTGGACGCTCGTTGCGGTGTCCTCTGCGGCGCTCCGTCGGCTGGCCGGTGCCCGTTGAATTCTCGTCTTGGCCCGCAAAATGGTTGGCCAAGAGCTTGGCCCTTCCCTGGTTTCTGTCCTCTGCAAACGTAATAAACGCATTCCCTTTCATCATTCGGATCGTTAATTAAAAGAACAAAGAGACCTGTAGCCAGGACAGATGCCACGTGATACTGTTTTTAAATGATGTTGAAGTGCTGGTAATTGTTCTGGTTATAGTTTTGGTTTTCCAACCAGTTTACACCTGCTCCACAGAGAGGTTTCATCAAAACCACATTTCTGTGCTGTATGTCATGTGAGATGTGTTCAAAGCTTTCAGGTACACATCATCTGCTGCTTCTCTCCCTCCTACAAGGCTCATAGCCACGTTGTGGAAGAAAATTAGGTCGGTTTGACATGACTGGCTCTTGACAATCCAATGAATAGTCCTTGTTCATCTAAGTGGTGCTACAGAAGTAATTCAGGTCTTGGCAGTTGCAGGCCGTTAGTTTTCACAGATAAAATACAATGCAGATAATGTCCTTTGTTGGTATCTGTTGTAATACGTAATGGATCAGAGGATTTTACATGGGTTTAAAGCATTATTATAATAAACATTTTCTGTCTTTCACAGTAAGCAGAATTTTCACCACTATTTTAAATGTTTGGTTTTTTTTTTTTACTAGTATCATTCAGAGCGCTAATCAAGCATTTTGGTAAACCCCACCATTTTCAAAGGCTTCTTCTAGTGCTCAGCTACGACACGAAAATTACAATGATAAAAATAAAATTTTCTGCTATCCTTTAAGTGATTCTCCCTCAACCTCTCATTTTTGTTGTACCCACAGGAGCATATTTTGCGTAGCTAGCAAAGACACCTGAAGAAGTCAGGTAGTTTCCCAATAATTTACCCTACTGCAAAACCAAAATGCAAAAATATACCAAAAACCAATGAGCCACTTCATTTTGAAACTATGATATAGATCTGTCTCAAGGGCCTTTTCTTCACTGCCTCAGGAAACCATGTTACCTTTTGCTTTGCAAGAAGTTTGCATAATTGGTTTTCCTACCTTGAGCAGCTGGAGACAGTGTTAAAGTGCAAAATACTATGCATCTCACAGAAATTAAATCGGTAATGCAGGATCACTGGTAGGCATACAGTTTAGCTATCCATCACTTTAAAGTCTATGCTAAGAAAAGAAAATGGCAAAGAAGTTCCATCATGTACTTTTCTGGTTCTGAGAGTAGCTCCAACACGGACTGGAGCAACACTGGCAAATATTTTTGTGCCTTTGTTTTATTGTAAAGCTGATCTAGCACAAAATAAAATACATTTTTAGAAAAGTAAGCTGAAGTAGTTTTTCAAACTGTCACCTAAGAAAGAACACTTATCAATATTTTTAGTCTTAATAATTTCTTTTAGCTCTGGTTTGGTAATAGTAGGGGAGCTAATATGGCAGTAAGTTTATATGTGAATATGAAAAGAAGAATTTGGCCATTAGAAAGAGATTAAATTTGCTCAGCACTAAAGCAGACATAGAATCATAGAATCATAGAAAGTTTTGGGTTGGAAGGGACCCCTAGAGGTCATCTAGTCCAACCTCCCCCCAGCAAGCAGGGACACCACTAACTAGATCAGGTTGCTCAGAGCCCTGTCCAACCTGGTCTTGAATGTTTCCAGGGATGGGGCCTCCACCACCTCTCTGGGCAACCCGTTCCAGTGTTTCACCACCCTCATTGTAAAGAATTTCTTCCTTATATC